TTAATAAGAAACTTACTGTAACGTATGACTTCAAGGGCAATATAGAATTGGAAGTGCAAAATTAAATTCAACATTAAGCAACCGTTCAATTATGGCGGGAGATTATTGAAAAAATATAAATTTTGAATTTTAAAACGTCAATACTCTACAATTGGAGAGTAAGAAGTTAATGAAAGACATATAAAAGTTTTGTACATTTACTTCGATAGTCGGCCTTTTCTTGTTCTTAAATATTTTACATGAATTGCCACGATAGTTTTAGTATGATTTTCAAGTGGTTGAGTTCACGTATTTCAATGTGCATTTCAAGTAGATCTCGTCAATATATTTTTAGGCAAATTTTGATAGTATAAACATAATTTAACTAAGTTTTTTTAATTTTAATTAACCTGGAAATTTAAATCTCTATGCTGTTTTATTTACAAAATCAGGAGCTGGTATGTTTAAGTCAGCTTTAATTCTATTACATGAGCTGTTCGGAGAGTGTTCATTATGTGCTTAAAAGTTAAATGAAATTTGAAATGAAATAAAAAATCGATACTAATAACAAGTTTATCATTAGATTATAAAAACGTGTGAACTTGAATTTTGCAATTCTAATTTTGATTCTCCTGCGGTGTGTGCAGATCAAATCAAATTGTTGATCTGAGCACTGATAGTCAAGCTATTTATATTTTTTTTAGAAAATTTTCCAGCACAACTGTTTGCTCAATTCAATTCTTTGTGTATGGAAATTAAATAAATACAATGAATAATAACTATAAGTCTTATTTCATAATACTGAAAGTAACGTCTGCCTAATTAGACAAGCCTGCGGTGTCATTTTAGTTTACCACTGAATTAAAGCCAGTTGTTAATTTTTTATAAAAATTTTCTCATAATTAAGTGCCAGTCTGGATTTTTCTCACATTTCCTATTACTTTCAGTTGCCGTATTTAACCAATACGGCTCCGACGGGCATCGAACTCGTAACCTCGGATTTAGGTGGCAAACACGTTAAGGAAACTAATCACATTTTCGAAATTTAAATGGTCAAAACTCATCCTTTGCTAAATTATTTGTTGTTTATTGTATCATTTAAAAAATTTCATTCTCATTATCTACGTTTATGTTAAACATAATGGTCATGAATTCAAGTGTGTAGGTGGAGATTTGCACAAATTAAGCATTAAAACCCAGTTCAAAACCATGTAGGTATGCTTTCACATGAGATGATGTATTACTATTTTAAAATAGGAAGGGTAGGGGTGTTTCCATATGCGGTTTACAATTATTTTTAATTTGCTAATAAACTAGGTAGTGCAAATTAAATTATTTCAAAACGTCAAATTAAATTCTAATTTAAGGAGCGAATTACAGCGACGTCATCAGTAGATACAGTAATAAGTCAACGTATGCATATTAAACATTATTTGCTAATATTTACTTGTCAATAAATAATCCCCACCTGTTTGAGTACATGCTTACAAAATTAGCATGTTAATATTTATAATGAACGTTATAAATAAAATTAATAAATGTAAAACAAGCAAAAATGAGGAAAACAGGAAATTCTATATTGATACCTTTTTAAAATTTATATATATAATTTTACAAATATAAAATTAAATTATTTTAAGTTAAACTTTAAAAGTACTTTATCTGAATTTGCGAAATGCGCACATACCGTTTAGTGAATAGCGGTGTATGTTCTAACGCAGTTTAACCAACGATGTCATGGTTTTATATAATTCCCCACGGGAACCCTGGTTCTGTGATTGGCATTTATACGTGTCTCGGTTTCCTAAAGCATACACGCACAAAATTATTCTTTTCCGTGCGCATGAAACATAGGGGAAACCAGTGCGGACAAGTGCATCAATTAGAGTGGGCAACATTTGCCTGGGACGCTGAAACTTAATGAATTCAAAATTCCATCCTGTAAACTTTAATTAACTTAACTCGAACAATCCCCATGCACATATTATTTTAATAAGTGGATGATTTATGGTGAATACATGAATCACCTCCACGCAAATTTACAGTTCAATAACTCAGGGGATAAAGGAACGGTCAATTACTCATAGTAATTTGGCAAATCAGTTGGTCCTAATTACACAAATAAAGCTACTGTTATAATCCCAAAGATATTCCTTGAGGTAACATGATAATGTGTCCTCTCTCGTATAAGAAGACCAAGAAAACATGCTTCAGGCAGTTCGAAAGGAATTAGAGTATGAATGAGGCTGGACTCGGGGGAGGAGCTGGGTTGATGAAATGACGCTTCAATATTTTACATGGCGGGGTGTGCGATAGACTTACCTCCACGTGGTGCACCCTGGGCAACGTATACTCATACGGCAAAAAAGGTCTATTAACCGACAGTTGACTTCTCACTTCAAACTACCATCACCTCACTCTATGCCATATTCGACTATTTCCACAGTACTCATCTCACCTTTGTTCTACCTTTGTGTTTGTCCCTTACATCTTTGAAACACTCTTCTGTTCCCCCCCCTCTCGATTTTTTTTCAATTTTATGTTCCCTCCTCTCTGTGAAGCCTGAAGTCAACTAAAGGGCTAATAATAACCATCAAGACGCCTGCATTTGAAATAAATAAATAAATAAATTTTACAAGGCTAACAGGCGA